AGGGGGAGGGGCAGGGTTAGGGGCAGGGGGAGGGATACAGGTACCACTGCACTTGGGTTGAGGTCTGGTGTGTGTGGGAGAGTTGGGGATACGGGTAGGTGCTGGGTGTGTGTGTGTGTGTGGGGCGGGGGGGGGGGGGGGGGGGGGCTGTGTGTGTCTGTGTGTGTGGTAAGGGGGGGGACTGAACGGTGGGTATGGGCGAACAGACGTGGTTCGGTGAGGCTCGAGCCCGACATCGATTGCTGCTGGACAAGTTGTGGTGATGTCGTTTCTGGCAGAAGTGACACGGGCGGTGGATCAACAAGCTGAGCTGCTGCAACTGCTGCATGAGCTCGAGGCTGCGGACAGGGCGAATCGGCTGCTGACCGATGATCTGGAGCTGGCCAAGGCGACGACAAAGACGGCTGTAGCGAGCTCGACAAAGGTAGGCCACTCGCTGACGGCGCTGCGATCGCTGCATGAGAAGAGCATGGCCAAGGCAAGGGGCGAGATTGCCGAGCTGAGCGAGAAGCTGGCGGCAGCAGAGAGCGTGCTGCACGACTATGAGGAAAAGACAGCGACGGCGGTGGCGCGGGCAGACGCCGCGAGTGCCCGCGCCGATGCTGCCGAGGCTCGCGCGGCCGAGGAGGCCAAGCGAGCGCGGACGCTGGCGCGCAAGCTGGAGGACGACGCAGCGGCTCGGCGGGTCGAGGCGCGCAGGGACGCCGCAGCCGAGTTTGAGCTCCTCAAGGAAGAGCTGCTTATCGAGCTTGGGCTGGCGACCCGCAAGAAGGAGGCAGAGATCGACCAGGTGCGGACCAAGCTTCATGCCAGGCTCCGCCGGCGCGAGCAAGAGAAGAGTGTGTCGGGTGAGCTCGACTACGGCAACAAGAAGCTGCAGCAGCGGGTGAAGGAGCTGAAGACTCGACTGGCTGCAGCAGTGTCAGCTCGAAACGAGCTCCAGACAACCAAGGTACAGCTGCAGGCACAGCTTGCGGAGCTCCAGGCCAAGTACAACGCTAACGTCTCCAAGTGGAAGTCGCGGTACGCCTCGGTCGCCCGGTCGGCCAAGGAATTGCACTCGTCCTCGACGCTGCGCGGGGAGCAGGCACAAATGCTCTCGTCGCAGCTGGCAGCAGTCAAAGTTGAGCTGAAGGCGGCGCACAAGGACCGCATCGTCCTCGAGTCACAGCTCTCGCAGGCCATGGCGGACAAGACGGTGGCGATGGCCAAGGCGGAGGAGCTCGCTGCCGAGGCCGCGCGGGCACAGTCGACGGCGCGGACGACGACCGAGACCGCATCGCGGCTGGAGGTCAAGCTCAAGCAAGTGTCCAACATGCGCAAGTCTGTGGCGATGTCCGCTATGGAGGACAAAGTCAAGCTCCAGGCCCAGGTCGACAACCTCAAGGTGAGCCTCGACGACACGTCAGCGCAGCTCGCTGAGGCCAAAGCTGCGCTCGCCGCCAAGGATGCGGCGCTCAAGCAGGCGCAGACGTCCAAGGAGACAACGTCGTCGATCAAGGACGCGCTGGCGGACGACCTCGCCAAGGCGCGGGAAGAGCTCGTCGAGGCACAAGCCCAGGTGGCGGCGCTCTCATCGGCCAAGTACTCGCTCGAGACGCAGCTCAACGAGGCCGTCTCGCGGCTTGAGACCGAACTCTCGGTGGCAGAACATAACGCCGAGACAGCGGCGATGGCCACGGCCGAGCTCCGCGAGCGGCTGCGGGCGGTCGAGGCCGAAGCTGAGGCTGCTCGCGCCGCGCAGCGCGAGGCCGAGGACGCGTTGACCGAGGCGCACTCGTCGGCGCGGGTGACCGGTGACACGCTCACCGAGGTCAAGGCCGACCTCGAGGACCAGTTGAGCGGAACACGGCTGGCCCTGGCGACGGCCAACGACGAGGTGGCGCGGCTGGAGCGCGAGGTGGCGCAGCTGCGGCTCGACACCGCCGCCGCCGACGCCGACGCGCGCAAACAGGTCACCGACCTCGCGCTGCAGCTGAAGGATACCAGGCTCAAGAGTCAGCACAGGGTCTCTGTGCTGGAACAGGACCTCGCCAAGGCCAAGGCTGAGCTCTCAATGGCGATGGACAACTCCAACTCGAAGCTCGAGCTCGAAAAGGCGGCGCGGACCAAGCTCGAGGCCCAGTACCGGGCACTGAAGAAAGAGCGGGCGTCACTGGTCCACGAACTCGACGAGCAGGCGAGCTCGGTCATCCAGAGCCAGGCCAAGGTCGAGGCGCTCACTGAGGCTCTGAGCGGGAAAAAGGCAGCGCTGGTCAGCGTCAAGCGCGAGCTGCGCGAGGCACGGGCCGAGGCAGCCGCTGCCAGCCGCGCAGCCGAGCGTGCCGACGAGCGAGCAGCTAAGCTCACCAGGCAGATTGAGGAGCTCAACGAGCGACTGGCCGAAATGCAGGCGTCGCGGCGCGATCTGATGGCGTCTGCAGCGAGCCTGCCGGCGAGCGGGCTCTCTGCCGCGTCGCTCGCGTCCGAGGCCACCGGAATTGGAAGTACGGGCGACGGGAGCGACGGAGCGCGGGTGGCGCAGCTCGAGTCGGCGCTGGCAGCAGCCGAGGAGCAAGCGGCGTCGGCGCGCGAGCGGGCACGGATGCTGGAAAGCCAGAACATGGAGCTCTCTCATGCCAACCTGGAGCTGTCGGAGGAAGCCGACGCGGCGAGCGGGCGGGTGACCGAGCTGGTAGCGGCCAAGGCGCAGCTTGCGGCACAGCTGCAGTCGGCACAGGGCCGGATCCGGGCGCTGTCGGACGCCGGCGACGGCGACGGCGACGAGGCGACCGAGGCTGCGGAGCGGGGGCAGGTGGTTGCGCTCTCGGCGCGGATCTCGCAGCTCGAGCTCAACCTCAACGCGGCGTCGTCGGCCAAGGCGCGGGCCGAGTCCAAGGCCAACGAGCTGGTGCGGGCGAACCTCGAGGCGTCACTGGCCATCAAGACCGCCGAGGCTGCGCGAGCGGCAGCAGAGAACGCGGCGGCGTCGGCGCAAAAGGCACGGGCACAACTGCGGCAGGAGCTCGAGGTGGCGCATGCGGCGCGGGCGTCGACCCAGGCGTCGCTCGAGGAGGCGCGGGCCGATGCCGACAGTGCACGGTCGGAGGCGGCCGAGGCAGTCGCCGAGCGCGACGGTGTGCGGCGGGCGCTGGCCAAGGCCGAGGCGGAGCTCGAGACGCTGCGCCGTCGGAGCGCCGACGCGCGCGAGCAGGCTGACGCGCTGCAGGCGACACTCGCGCAGGCCGGCTCAGAGCAGGTCCAGGAGCTCGGGGCACAGCTGGCGGCAGCGACGGCGCAGGCGTCCGAGGAGGCGCAGCGGGCGGCCGAGGCACAGGCTAAGGCCGCTGGCCTCGAGGCCGACCTCGCGACGCAGCTCGCCGAGCTCGAGCGAGTCCGCAAGCTCGCCGACGAGTGGAAGGTCTCGGCCAAGGAGGCGCAGACAGCGCTCCGCATCGAGTCACTCAAGCGGCAGGAGATGGAGGACCAGACAGCACGACTGAAGCGGTCGGTCGAGTCGCTGCAGTCGTCGATGGCCGAAAAGGTGGACGAGGAGCGCGACAGGCTCAACGCCGTGCTCAAGGACCGGCTCCGCATTCTCGAGGAGCGCAAGGCCCGCGAGGTTTCCGGCAAGGTCGAGCGCGAGCAGGTCTCGGGCCTTGGTAAGGTCACCGCATGGAAGCAGGATGAGGCCTCCCGGGTGAAGATGGAGGCCGTCCTTGCCCGACGTGCCCGCCAGGCGCAGCTCGATGCCGCTGAGGCTGAAGACAACGCCCGCCGGGCCGGAGGCGAGGAATGAAGCATGGGGGGTGGGGGGTGGAGTTGTTGAACAAAAAATTGTTGCATGTGGGTGGCTACGGGACAGGGACAGGGCGGGCGGAAGGCGGAGAAGGCGAGGGGCAGTGACGGCAGCGGCAGCGGCACTGGACTCGCGCCTGTGGCTCGGCTGAACCCGCACGCATGTCATCGCCGTCCCCGGACGCCAGTGACATGTATGTCACGTTCTACGGGCGCGGCAAGCCAGTGCCTGCCGAGCGGGCGTTCTTCCACACCGGCGACGGAGGCGGAGACCCACTCGATGAGCTCTCGGGCCTGATACGATATCATCCGGCCATGTCCCGCGCCATCCTCGCCGACCCACCGCCTCGCTCGGCCGCTCCTATGTCGCCTCGCAAGACACGAGGCGAAGGCAAAGGTGATGGGGGGGGTGCTGACGACGGCGATGATGCTGATGTGGTGGCTGCGCTCGCCGAGCTCGATGGCCTGGTGGCGTATGCACCGACCATGTCGTTGGCGCTCTCGCCGTACACGTCGCCAAAGCCATCGCCAGTGCGTGGCGAGGAAGAGGCTAATGCGACCGAGACGGAGACGATGGTGACGGAGGCGAGCGCGAGCGGCTTGGGCGTGGATCACACGCTGACGTATCGCGGGACGCTGGCAGCGCGGACGGTCGATCTAACGCTGACGCTGGCGTTGGATGGCGGCGGGAGCGCGAGCCGGCCCGAGTCTACGAGCTCGACGGTAGTGAACCAAGATCAAGTGGTGCGGTTCGAGGTGACGGCGCCGTCGCTCGATGTCATTCCGTGGTCGCAGCTCGAGCTGGAGACGGTGCTCTCCCGCGGCGGGTTTGCGGTGGTGTGGCGGGCGCGATACATGTACGACGAGGTGGCGGTCAAGATTGTGTCGTCGCTGGCGTACCTGGGCCAGGTTCAGTCGTTTGTGGAAGAGGTGGCCATGCTCGCGGCGCTGCGGCACGCCAATGTGGTCTTTTTGGTTGGCATCTGCACCGAGGTCTCGCGCTGCGCCATTGTCATGGAGAACATGGCTGGCGGCGACCTCGCGCGCGCACTGCACGGCAAGCACCGCATTGGGCTGGAGATCGGTACCCGCCTTCGGATTGTCCGCGATGTCGCCCGCGGCCTCGCGTACCTCCACCGGCATGGCCTCCCGCACCGTGACCTCAAGCCGGCCAACGTCCTCCTGGTCTCGGCCTCGCCGCTCGTGCTCAACGAGCCGTCACTTTCGGTCCGCGCCAAGATCGCCGACTTTGGCCTCTCGGGTGTCAAGCTCTCGCATGCGGGTCGGTCGTTTGCCTGCACGCTCCGCTACGCTGCGCCTGAGGTGCTCCTTGGCGAGGTCTCAGGCACGGTGAGCCACTCGTCGCTCGTTGCCGCCCGACGATGCGACATGTACTCGTTCGGCTTGCTCGCTGTCGAGGTTCTCTCCGGTGTGCGGCCGTTTGAGCACCTTGCACACGCCGCCGATCGACACGCCAACGTCTACGCTCCGCCGTTTAGTGACGATACACTCGACATTGTCGACGTCATGTGTGACGACGCCGGTGTAGGTCCTCTGCGGCTCTTCTCCGCGCATGCCTCACCGCCGAGGCGCACGAACGGCCGGAGAGTGACGCCATCCTCGCGGCGCTCTCGACGCTCCGGTCTTGAGCAGAGGAGTTACGCCCGCGTGACGCTCGCCACCATCGCCTGCTGCGCCTCTAGCTCGGCCTGTGTCCCCTCAATGGTAAACTGGAGCTGCCGCGAGACGGCACCCTGGGCCTCGCGCGCACGGCGGAAGACTGCACGGAAGAGTCGGAGCAGCGCCTTGGCGTAGAGAAGCGCAGGCTGTGAGGCCCGTAGATGCAGTGCGGCGCTTTCCTCATCCGGTGTGAGACGGACGCCGGTGACGTCCTGTGCGCCGACCAGCACGTCTTCCAGCGCGCCGACGACGCCCTCCCACTCGGCTTCGATCGCCTGCAGCTCGTCGGCGTCGGCAGCACGCGCGTCTCCCTCGGCTGCGGCAGTAGCCTCCAGCTCGGCTAGGCGGGCGCGCAGGACGGCGGCATCGCGTACGCCCTGACTCTCGTCGGCGTTGAGGCTGTCGAGAGTTGCCAGTGCGTCAGCGAGCGACGTCGAGAGGGCATCAACCTCGGCGCGGAGCGCACCGATCTCGGTCTCAGTCAGCTGGCGTGCAGCCTCGTGCAGCGCCCGCGCCGCGTCGTCGCTCCGGGTCTGGGCCGCCGCCTGTGCGCGGAGCCGATCCGCCAGCTCTGAGCGCGCCCGGTCGGCGGGTTGAAGCTTTTCCAACAGCGAGAGCTTTGACGTTGTCTTGGCAAGCGCGGCGAGGATGGCGGTGTGGGCCGCGCGGGCGGTGCTGACATCGGCCTCGAGCGCCTCGGCCTCGGACGTCGCCGCTTTTGCTGCGGCGTCTGCAGCCGCAAGCTCTGCTTCGGCTCTCGCTTGCGCCGCAGCACTCTGCTCGATGTGCTCGTTGAGCTCATCGAGCTTTGCTGCTGCCGCATCCAGCTCGGCACTCAGTGTACCGTGCTCGGCACTCAGGTTTGCCACCTTGTGCTCTGCCTGGTTCTGCGCTCGGAGGGCTTCGGCCGCAGCAGCGCGGGCGTTGCGCTCGGCACGCTCGGCGGCCCGGACCTGGCCCGTTGCTGCTCGGGCCTCGGCCTTGCCGTCTGCGACTTGGCGGCGGAGGCTCTCGATAATCTCCTCCAACTTGCGGGCCTCGGCTTCAGCTGCAGCTAAGGTGGCGGCGGCGGCATCGCGACTGGCTTCAGCGGCGCGCACGCAGGCTTGCAGCGTCTTCCGGCGCTCGCGGGCGTCCGCAACAGCGGCGCGGTCGCGGTCTAGCGTAGCAAGTGCGTCAGCTTCGGCAGCTTGCAGAGCAGCTGCTGTCCGTTCGGCCGCGGCCGCCTGGCTTCGCAGAGCTCGCTGCTCGGCGGCAAGAGCGGCTGCTGCTGTCTGAGATGCTGCCGTATCAGACTCGAGCGCCGCCAGCTCGTCGCGAACAAGCGCCATCTGATGCGCAAGGCCCTCATTGGCCGACTCGGCGTCATACACACGCGCCTCGGCGTCGCGAACACTGGCACGCAGCGCCTCGATCTCGGCGCTCGAAGCCGCCATGGCGGCTTCGGACTCGGAAAGTGCTGCTGCGGCTGCGTCGCGTGACTCGGCGAGCGCGGCGGTGCTCGCGACGAGCTCGCCGGCCTTGGCCTCGAGCTCTGCTGCTGACGCAGACAGGTCGTCGGCCCGGGACTGCAGCCGCTGCTGGGTGTCGGAGGCGTCGGCGAGTGCGCTGCGGGCTGCAGCCAGCCTTGTCTGCATGTCGTCACTGTCAAGCCGGGCCTGGTGGAGCTCGAGCTTGGCGTCCTCGACCGCATTGGCAAGTTCGATGCGATGGGCGGACTGGCGTGCCACGCGCGACTGCAGCTCGGCAATGGTGCGGTGCACCTCCTCTGACTCGGCGCTGACATGGGTCAGCTCTGCAGTCGCGTTGGCCAGGTCGGTGTCGACACTCACCCTTGCGTCCTTGGTGTCTTCAAGCGCGCTGCGAGTCAAATCGACGCTTGCGCGCGCCTCGGCAAGGCGGCGTTCGAGGTCGGCGACGTCGGCGCGCAGCGCGGCCAGCTCGGTCTCAGCGCCCGCCAGAGCATCCGCAGCAGCGGCAGCATCATCGCGTGCACGCGTCAGACTCCGCGACGCAGAGTCGAGCTCGGAGCGCATGGTGGTGGCATTGACCCTCGCATCCGAAAGCGCAACCTCGGCATTCTCCTTGCGGCTGTCGAGACTGTGCATCTCGGCTCGAGCCGCGGCGTAGTCACTGCGAGCAGCAGCAGTAGCGGCGTCAAGCTGCTCGGTTTCGCTGTTGGCGGCACGTAGCTTGTTGCGGAGCTCACACAGTCGGGCGTCAAGGCTTGTGCGCTCGTTGTCAAGCCTAGCCACTTGTGCAGCAAGCTTGTCACGATCAGCGGCGGCATCGTCACGTGCCGTGACGGCCGCAGCCGCCGTTGCCCGCAGCGCGGGCAGCGAGTCGCGGAGGACACTCAGCTCGCTCTCGGCGGTAGCCACGGCGTCGACGAGCTCGTTGCGCTGGGCAGTGACCAGCAGTACATCCGACTCGAGCGTGGCGACCTCGAGCTGGAGGCTGTTAGCCTCAAGCGTGGCAGACTTGGCTTCGTCGAGCACGGTGGCTTCCTCGGCGCGGAGCGCGTCGAGCTTGGCGACAAGTGCGTGGTGGCTCTCGCGGAGCTCAGAGAGGCCAGCAGCGGCAGCATTGGCTTCGATGGCACTCGCATCACGGGCGGCCCGTGCAGCGTCGAGTGCTGCGAGCAGGGCATCGCGCTGGGCAGCGGCGGCGTCGCGCTTCGACTGGAGGACGCAGGCTTCGTCGGCATCGGCAGCGATGCGGGCACGCAGCTGCTCGGTGGCAGCGTTGACGTCGGCAAGGCGGGCCGCTTCGACGGCGACGCTGTCCTTAACACGTTGTAGGTCGGCAGCAGCGGTGTTGGCCTCGGCCCGGAGCTCAACCAGCTGTGATGCGAGGTCACGCTTGGAGGCGAGCGAGGCTTGGAGCTTGGCCGAGAGCGAGGTGGTGGTTGACTCCAGCTCGGCGGCCACGGCGGCCTTGGCATTGCGCTCGGCAGTAGCGGCAGCGATACGGGACAACGTCTCACGGAGGGCGTCGCGCTGGGCGTCCAGGGCGGCAGCAGCGCGTTCCTCGTCGAGCTGCGAGGCGTGCAGGGCAGAGGCTGCGGCCGTCCGCGCAGTACGGAGCGAGGCCAGGTGCGCGTCGGCGGCGGTGAGCTCGACAGCGACTGATGAGAGCTGCGATGAGGCAAGGGTAAAGTCGGCTTGCGAGCGTGACAGCTCGTGGGCAAGCTCGACTCGCTCCACCCGCACGCGGGCCAGCGCCGAGTGGGTCGACATCAGCTCTGAGCGTGAGGCCTCGACATCGGCGGCCTGCTGCGAGAGGGCATCGACGTGGCGGGCGAGCTCGGACTGGGTCCGCGACAATGCGAGGCCCGAGGCAGCGACAGCTGTGCGGGCCGAGACCAGCTGGGCCTGCGACGCAGCAAGCGAGCTCCGTGCACGTCGAACAGTCTCGTTCTTTGCCGCCAGCAGCTCGCGCTTGGCAGCAAGCTCGGCCTCCAGCGCCTCCAGCTGACTAGCCAAAGCCTCGCGCTCGGCAGCAGCGGCACCGAGAACCGACGACGCCGCCGCCGTGTCTGGGCCGAGCGCCTCGAGGCGGGCCCGGGCGTCGGTTAGTGCTGCGATTGTTGTCGCAATCGAGTCTTCCAAGCCCGCCGCGTCGAACGAGGCGCGATGGAGCGCGAGCTTGGCCGTGGTATGGGCCTGGTTCGCTGATGACAGCGGGAGAGGGGTGGCGAGGTCGTCGATCTCGAGCGTGCGGGTGTGACCTTGGGGGTGGGGCTCGTCGGCTACGATGGTTGGCTCGGGCTGTGGCGGCGGCTGGGTGGCGGCAGCGGCGAGCTGGTGCTGGAGCTGTACGATGGTGGCATTGGCAGCCTCGAGCTTGGCCTCGGCGTCGGGTGAGGGCGTGGCGGCTGGCGGTGGCTGGGTGGCGGCAGCGGCGAGCTGGTGCTGGAGCTGTACGATGGTGGCGTTGGCAGCCTCGAGCTTGGCCTCGGCGTCGGGTGAGGGCGTGGCGGCTGGCGGTGGCTGAGTGGCGGCAGCGGCGAGCTGGTGCTGGAGCTGTGCGATGGTGGCGTTGGCGGCCTCGAGCTTGGCCACAAGGCGGTGAACGGGTTGAGCCCGGTTAGAGGTGACAGCGAGCTGGTGCTGGAGCTGTGCGATGGTGGCGTTGGCGGCCTCGAGCTTGGCCTCGGCGTTGGGTGAGGTCGTGGCGGCTGGCGGTGGCTGAGTGGCGGCAGCGACGAGCTGGTGCTGGTGCTGTGCGGTGGTGGCGTTGGCGGCTTCAAGCTTGGCCTCGGGTGGAGACGGGACGTCGGCCTCGTTCCTTGGTCGGAGCTGGCTAGAGGCGATCGCAAGGGCCGTCTCGGTCGCTTCAAGTCGTGCTTGGAGGTCAGCATTGGCATCAGCCATCGCTGACATTGCGTGAGCAACGTCGTTGCACTCGAGAGTGGCCCTCAGCCGGCTGTTTTCAGCCTCCAGCTTAATGGCTGTCGCCTGGATCTGCTCCAACATGCCCACCAAAGCATCGATGGGCTCGGGCGAGTCTGCCTCGCGGATGCGCTCCAGTGCAGCACGCAGGCGGTCGTTCTCGGCGGCCAGATCAGGCGTATCACGGGCAGTGTCAAGTTCGGCGCGAAGTTGCTCATTCGCAGCGGTTGTGGCTTCCGCTTCGCCCTGCATGATCTTGATCTGCTTTCCCGCTGCCAGCACTGCCTGCTCAAGGCGCTCCACATACTCGGGATCGGCAGCGTGGGCCAGCTTGTCGAGTGCAAGCTCTAGCTTCGACCTTGCCTCGGTTGCGGCCCGAGCCTCGTCATCAGCGAGCTTCTCGGCACTCGACATCGCAGTCGTCATCTGGGCCAGCTGATCCACTAGCATAGCTAGCGCCGTCTCGAGCTCATTGCATCGCGTGCAGGGAGCAGACTCGGCCGCAGCCAGTGCGCTGGTCAGCTCATCGCATCGAAGGCAGGAAGGGTTCTCGAGCGCATCCGATGCGACGTTGGCATCGCAGTTCTCTTTGCTGCTCTCCGCAAGTCCGCTCACCGCCTCTTGTGCCATGCTGCGGCCAAGCCTCTCTGCCAGCACCTCCACCGCAAGAGCGTTGGGAACTTGGCTACCCGCGGCCTCCTCAGGCGCTGGGCGGCGCAGCAATTCGTGAGATGGGCTCTGGTTGGGCTCTGGTGCTGGTGGCTGCACTTCGGTCTCTGGTGGCTGCCGCGCCTTGTCAGAGCCATGCATCAACCACATCAGCTCACGGACCTCCTTGTCCGACTCTTCAAATGACTCCGAGTACATCGCTCCACGACCATCCTCGCCAAGCAGCATCCGCCGCAGTGCCAGGTACTTGCCCCGCAGGACCTGCTCGGCCTCATCTACCGCCATCGGTTGCTCCGACTCGGCCTGTGCCCATCCCTCGCGCCCACATGAGTCAATTCGCCCCTTCCTCCCTTTCCTCCCCTTCCCCTCCTTCCCCTCCCTCCTCGTCAGGTCGCCTACCATGAGGCGGATCACCCTCTGCCAGCCCGTCTCAACAAACACGGCGTCAACTTCGGCAGCCGTCGCCGCCAGCTGTGCTTGGTCATGGGAGAGACCATGGAGAAAGAGGCCCACAGTCTCCCGCCGCACACCAAGACTCTCCGCCACAAGGTCAAGCACGTCGCCCATGACCTTCCTCCCCAGTGAGTCCAGTGTTGCCTCTGGCTACTTCCTCTGCCTCCCGCCACATTCGGCCACCGGTCGTTTGCCTCCGCGCCAAAAGGGGACGCTGTCACGGTAAAGGCCACGATGAGCTGGCAATTGCAGAGATATGGCTGAGAAAACGGGTTGGGAGGGGGGTGGGGGTAAAGGGGTGGGGTGCGGGCGAGGTGGTGATGACGGGGAGGGGTGTGTGTGTGTGTACGCGGTGGAGACGGTGTGGAAACAGATTGAGGTGATGGAGATAAAAACACGTGATCATCTTGCTTTAGATGGTGTTGCCCAGCCTTCTCACGCCAATCTCGCCGGACATTACACAGCTACGGAAGACAGTCTGCATACAACACGCCCCCCCCCTCCTCCCCCACACACAGATGCGATGGACTCCATTATTACCCCAATTGCCCGTGCAAACCATCCACTGCACGCCATCGATGCCCGTTCGTCCGCCAACGGAACCGAACAAGCGTTCGATGAGACTCGAAAAGGAGGTCGATGCTGAGCTGGTGAGCACCGCTCTCGCTCTCGGACGCGAAGAGCAGCAACGGCAGAGGAGTGTGATGGACGAGAACGAGAGCTGTGGATGGGGTAGCAGGTGTTGGGTGATGCGGCGGTGGGCAGAGGCACCGCTGGTGGCACAGGTGGTGGCGGCAGTGGCAGGGCGGAGTGCGTCGGTGGAGCAACTGGCGGTGGTGGTGGCGACCGAGGAGCGGCGGAGCGACGCTGGTATGGCGGTGGGCGCGTGGATGATGGGCAACGAAGTCCGCGGACCGCGGCTGTGGAAGATGCTGGTGCTTGAAGCGCTGGAGCGAATGTCGCAGCTAGCCGCGGCGCTCCTGGCGGCGGTCTCCGGCGTTGTGTGGGGTGCTCTCGGCGCGCCGGCGTTCAAGATCAAGCTTGCGGTGGCAGGCACAGTGGCGTTGGCCGAGGCGCGCCTCCCGCTTGTCCACAAAGGCCGAACCTCGCTCGCGATGGAGGCGCTCGATCTGGTGGTGGTTGACGTCCGCGCGAGCACGTTCTCGCTTGCGGCGCCAACGCTCCCGCGAGCGCACGGACTCGGCTCGGCGACAGTTGTGCGGGTCATTGAGCGGCCTGCCGCGCCACTCCGGGTTTGGCTGCGGTTCATGGGTGACTCAATCCTGGCGCTGACAGGCGTCGGCTGGATCGCCAACGGCGTGCTCGTCGCGCTCACCCGGCGGACGCTCATGGATTTCGCCCTCGGCACCCGGGTCATCGATGGCCTCGCCGTCGATCTCCAGCTCTTTCACCCACGCACACTCTGACTGCTCCTCACCGCTCGCCTGCGTCGCGGTTGCGCTGATGCGCCGCCTACGTAGCGTGCCGAGCCGGACTGGACCGCCGGCACTGCCCGCGCTCATCGACCGAGCCCCCATATCTCGTGCCCTGGTCACTCTTGCAACAGACTCACACATGTAAACTACTTGTCCATCGTGCTGTTGTACCAATCGCGCGCGCTTGGCAGTAGCATTGAGCTGGCTGGTTGGCGCTTTCCGCCCACCGCCCCCGCCTTTCGGCGGAGCGTATTCGGCGGTCGGCACTTGGCGCCAAAACGGGAAGCAGACGATGCGTACGCAGGTGCGCGAGGTTGTGCGCATGCAAGTGGCACGCAAGGCCTCCTCACGGTACACAAGGCTTGCCTTTGCCTCTCCGGCTACAGCTACTGCCCGTCGGAGTGCTGTCCGAAGCTCGCAGGGACCGTCCCTCCTCCCCACCCTCTACACCGTCGCCGCCTCGGGCGCTCCGGCCACACTCCCGCCGGTGGCACAGGCACGACTCGCCGGCAGCCAGAACGACCAGGACGCCGCGGCTAGTCTGCCAGACCCAGTCAAGGCCAAGGCCAAGGCATTGTCGGCGCTCACGGGTGCCCTGCCCAAGACACCCGAGCTTGTCGGCTTCTCTGCAGACGGCGCGCAGGTTGTCGCCGCAGCCGGCACCCAGCTGGCGGTCTACTCGCGGTTCGACAACGCTGCCGTGCCGCTCGTTGGTCCTCCGGACGCTGTATGGGCACCAGGCGCGGGTGGCATGCGGGTGTGGATATCTGGCGACGGCAGGAACGTCGTCCTCCTCGACGCCGCGCGCAATGTCTGGCTCTGGGACGATCGCTTCACCCTCGCCGCCGCACACCATGTCCAGCGCTGGTTCCTCCTTGACGTTGAGAGCCGGCTTGAGCTCACGCCTGATGCTGAGCCGCATCTCGATGTGGTGTTTGTGGCGTCGGCTGCCGCCCGCCGCGCCCTCATCTCCCACACCCACGTGGCAGCCACGGGCCGCTCGGCTCTTGTCCACGTCCACATGGCACACATCCGCTTCCACCCGCCGTCGCACGAGTCCGCGGCCAACGCCACGCTTGCCCCGTTTGATGTGTTCACTTCGTCGGCTTCGGCACCGCTCGCGCACGACACGGCAGCGGTCTCGCTGCGGTTGGCGACGGCGTGGGACCCGACGGCCTCGTTCCTCGCGGTTGTCCTCACGCCTCAGCTCGTCGCCAACTCGCTGCTTTTCCTCTTCTCACCAGCACGTGTATCTGGATCGGCCGCCACGCTCCCACTTATGGGCTCTCTGCTGGAGAGTGGCGAGCTGAGGGCGCGGTCGGAAGACGCAGGCTTTGCCGTCGCTGCCCTCACATGGCTTCCAGGCGCTGCCATCCTCGCGCTTGTCAACTCGTACGGCCAGCTCGTGCTCGTAACTGCGCTGGGCGAATTTGTTCTCACCCCGAGCCAGTGGCTTCAGCTCGACGGGATCGGCATCGACCGCGACGCCTGTGTCTTTGCCTCGTCGCGTGTTCCGCTTCACGCTGTTGTGCCGGCACACCGCGGTCTGCCGCCGACCGAGCTGTCACGAAGCCAGGTATGGATTGCCCCGGCGCTTCGGGCACCCGCTAGTAGTGAGCCCATATTTGGTGTCTCGGACGGCTTTGTGGTCGGGCTCTACGCGCTTCCGCCCGAGCTCGCATCACACGAGGCACTAGCCCATGTTGCGCTCGGGTCAGAAGTGCCGCTCTCATCGCCGATGCCGACTGCTGTTGCGCTGCAGCCAATGTCGTCATCGCGCCAGGCTCGCGCCTTTGCTACGCTCGCATGGCTTGCCGCCAATCCGGCCATCCAGGTCTCGCCGCTCTTCCATGAGCTGTTTGACGGCGCGCTGATGTTGTTGCGGACGTCGGGTGCACTGAGCGCCCGGCTAGTGGCCGCCGACGAGGGCGCCGAGCTCGGCGACCGCACGCTGCAGCTGTTGGACCGCGCGCTGGTATTTTTCAACATCTCCCGCTCGATTGAGTGTGCACTTGCTGTGGTGGCTCTTGTGCTCGACGCACTAGTTGCCGCCGACTGCGCGCGACAGGCCAGATTTGTGGTCATAGCCGCGGACGAGTGGCTCTCGGCCGCGCTCCGGCACGCCCCGATTCTCAAGACTACCCCCGCGCCGCTTGTTCTACCACACACCCGGACAAAGGTCATGTTCTCCGAGTCCGGCTCCCCAAGCCGCTACACACCTGCGCTTGCTGGGCTTGGCCGGTTTCAAGCCGATCTTGCCCATGCTCAGGTTTGGGACGAGTTGCTGTCGCAGCGATCCGGCCTGGACGCGATCTCGCCGGCGCATGTCTCGCGCAAGTCGCGAAACACAAGCCGTGGGCACCGCTCAGGTGGTCGCTCGCGCGGTAACCGAAGCGCTGCCATCGGCGATGCTAGCGGCATGGAGGTGACGTCCAAGACCGTGGCTGCCGCGGCGCGCGCTGGCGATCCGGGTGCCCTCATGGCGCAACTGCTTTGCCGCGGCGAGTATGTTCGTGCGTTCAAGCTTGGCAGCGAGCTGCTGAGCTCCGTGACGCACCGGAATTACGGCGAGCAGAAGACTGCAGCTGGCTTTGAGCGAAGCGCCAAACGAACTGCTCTTGTCTCACTCATCCGGGTCATGGCTGCGTTCTTCCTCGACCATCCTCTGGTGGTCCTCGAGGCCGACGTGGTGGCGCGCGATCCGCTCAACGTCTTTGCGCCGCCGTTTGCACCGGCGTCCGACCGCGAGGCCTGGCTTGGTCGGCACCGCTCGGTGGTCATGGCAGACGTGACCAAGCTGGAGCGCGACCTGGGCCTCATTCCGGAGCTCTCGGTACAGACCATGCTCGAGTGGGCGCTTCAGCTCGGCCTGTTTGAGGATGCCGTTCGCCTCTGTCTTGCACTCGAGGACTGGCGTTCGGCATTCCTCGTCTCGTACGCGCATCTCAATGCCCACGTCCACGGCCCGGGCGATGTGTTTGGCGGCATCCACGCGCTTAGTGAGCAGCTCACGCCACGTGGCATTCTCACCGCCATGGTCAACGCCGGCCTCGCCACCGAGGGCATCACCATTGTGCTCTCGGCGCTGCAGGCCGCCGACCTCACCGCGCTTCCGTGCGCGCTCAAGCTGCGGGTGCAGACTGTACGAACGACGCTGCATGCGCTCGACGCCATGGTTGCCGACGCACGGATGCCACTGGTGATCGAGACGTCGTTTGAGCTCCCAGCTTCAACCTTTCCGCTGGTCGACCCGGGTGTGCTCGTGGGCCTTCTCTCTCAGGCCGACCGCAGCCACTCCAGCAGCGGATCGACCGAGAGCGCCGCTGGTGCACCGTTGGTGTTTGCATGGTCAGGCGCGTCTGCACGCGCGCTCAACGTCTGGGACGTCTCATCTTTCTCGGACATCTCGTCGTCAGTTGACGTGTCGACGATTGTACTCGGTGGGCGAAGCTCGAGCTCGAGCGGGCTTGGATTCGGTGGAATGATGGCCACAGGCGGGCCGTACTCTCCAACCAAGGCCGCGGCCTCGTCGCGAGGCTCGTCGTACAGCGAGGTCAAAATGAGGCAGCACTTTTCGCTCGCCTCACACTACGCGCTGCTTGTGATGGAGCCGCTGCTGGACGAGGCTATGGCGTTGTATGCCACGTTCCTCACTCACAGCGTGCAGAGCAAGGTGGGCGCGAGCAGTCGACTCGGCTCGCTCAAGAAGACGCTCGACACGTTTGCCACCGAGCTTGTGCCTGACGCCATTGGCGGGCTCGATGCGCCGTCACAGGGCGTGCTCGATCTGGCTGTCTCGCTGCAATCGCTGCTGCGGGCGATGTGGATGGTGTATGCTCGTGATCGCTACAACGGCGGGCTGCGGCTCGCCAACGCAGCGGCGACGCCGAGCGATGCCGCCTGGGCACCGGTTGTTCGGTGGGCGCTCCGCCTGCTGCCATTCACCGACATGCTCGACATTGAGCAGGTTCAGACGAGCGTGCTCTCGGCGCTAGAGCAGACGCTTGCCGGGGCACGTGGCGGTGTGTCGACCGAGATCGATGAGCTTGTGGATGACGTCCAACGCGCGCTCCCGTCATCGGCGGTGTGGTTCTCGGTCAAGCCTATGTACGGGCGAGTGATGGCGGCCGTGGCTGAGCGGGCAGCTGCGGCGCCAGATCGCGAGAGCACCGGAGGGCGGCCATCGCCGTTTGCGTATGAGACCGACGTGGCGTTCATCTCGTTTGTACTGCCACTGATGCGGACGCTGGAGCAAGTCTCGTCGCAGGAGCTCGTGCCCGAGGCTTTCCAGCCGCTTGTCGATGCCTCTCTCGTGGGCACAGTCGAAGCACTTCCGCCCAAGTCGCTTGTCAAACAAGCACAGCTCTCGTCGGCCATCCTTGATTGGTGCACCGGCGAGGTTGTCGACGGGTCGCGGCACCCTAGCCTCCATGCTGTTTTTCTGGCGCTCAACGAGGCGCTGCACGCGCTGCAAGACTACGAGAGCAACGGACGGGCACAGCGGCGCGAGCAGCTGCTGACGATGCAAAAGGAGGTCCAGGTTGATGTCGCAACGCCGATCAAGACGCCCAGACCGTCACCGTCATCAAGCGCTTCGTCGGCGACGCCGTCGTCGCCGCCGCGAAAGGGACTCACAGCCGAAGAGCTCACGGCGCTTTTGGCGTCGTTCAAGAAGGACATGCTGGCTGTACTGTCCGAGCAGGCCGGGGCAGCGAAAGCGGCAGCTGCCGACGCGGCAGCAGCAGCGGCAGCCACTGCGGCGGCAGCAGCTACAGCCACCCAGACGGCGTCCCCACCGTCTCCTGAGCGCGATCGGCGGCCGCGACTGCTGCGGTTTACTAAGACGCCTCTGAAGGCAGCAATGGTGATGGAAACGGGCTCGCCGCAGCTTCTGCGGGTCAAACGGGTCGGCGAGCGTGGTCCGCCACTGGTGGCACTCAACACCCGCAAGACGTCGCCGCAGCGGATTGTGAAGCGCAAGCGCGGAAAGCTGCTTAGGCTCGGCGGGAGTGTTGAGGCATTTCAGCCAAAGCCAATGAGTCGGGCCACTGGATCGACGTTGGATGACGGCGCGGAGGCAGGGACAAGGACCGGGATTGACGAGTACCAGCGTGCAGCGACGGCAAACATGGAGGCGATGACCGATTGCCTGCGGGCGATGGCGGAGCAGGTGCGGCGGCAGTCGGGATGGGGCCACGCGCCTGTGCCAACAGTCCGTGAGCCGAGCCGCAGCGAGGCGGCAGCAGACACAGCGGCAGCAGCGTCATCGCCCCGTTCGACAAGGCGCAAGCACGAAGTCCACCGGGTTGAGACAAACGAGACGAGTGAGACGACGACAACGACGACAACGAGGATGCCTGAACATGTTGATCCAGCGGCAAATCCGCAAGAGCCGATCGAAGGCGAGCAAGCAGAGCTCAAGGCCGGGTTCCCGGTCTTGCCTGGCTCGCTGTGGGCCGGCTTGCTTGCCAGCGATGGCGACGGCAAGTCGAGTCGGCGCGCGTTCCTGGACGTGGTTGACATTGAGTCGTTGTCGATGGCGAGCCCGGCGAGTGGTCAGATTGGACTGGTGACGCCGCCAGTCGAGCAGACAGCGGACGCCAGTGTGCGGGACGAGAATGCGGCCGTGAACGAGAGCCTACGGGTTTCGGACACGTTTGCTGGCATGCACTCGCAGCTGGCACGGGTGGAGCGGATGGCAGCCATGCTGGAGATGGAGTTCGACGAGACCGACGCCAAGCTCGAGGCCGTAGAGGCCGAGCTCGAGCGGCTGTCGCCACAAAAGGGGCCACGGATGGATGTGTCCGAGCTGACTGGGGCCAGCAGCAGCAGCATCAGCGTCAGCAACAGCAGCAGCGCGAGCGGCGGACACGATCAGGAAGGAGCCGGCGGCGTGAGAGCAGCAAAGTGACGCGAAAGGGCAAGGACAAGGGCAAGAGCAAGAGCAAGGGTAAGAGTAAGTCGAGGCGGAGGCGGCGGAGTCGACGGCAGCATCGGCAGTTTCGGGCCAATCCGGTTCCGGACACTACGTATCGTCCGGATCTCTCGTTCAAGAACTTTGGCGGGCGCAGCTCAGGCTACGGCCAGGGTCGGATGGACGACGCCGGTGGGCTGTCCGGCGACGAGCTGCTTGCGGCGCATATCCCGAAGCGGATCGACATTGCGTACGATTTGATGGAGCACATGCTCGAGGAGGAGGAGCTGGAGATGTCGATTGTGTATCCCGACGATGCTGCCGATGAGGTTGACTCTGATCCTGGGGTGGATCTTGCACCACGGACGCGGCCGCAGCCGAGCGAACCGCCTTTGCTGGCGAACCTGTTTGATCCTGACTTTCAGCGGTCGGTCCTCGTCTCGCTCCGGGAGAGCGGCAACAGCGGCGGCCGTTGAGTAGTGAACGCGAGAGCAGGCATGTTTGTGTGTATGTGTGTGTGTGTGTGTGTATTGATGATCAGTGGCCAGCATTGCCACCAAAGTTGAGCTTGATGGCCGGCTTTGCAGCGGCAACAGCAGCGGCCTTGCGGATGCGGATGAGGAGGACGCCGTCACGGTAGGAGGCCTTGAGAGTGGCCGGCTCGACCTGGAGCGGAATGGTGATGTGCTGGGCAAATGGGCCGGCAAAGCGGGAGGAGGAGATGACGCGAAACTTGCCCTGTAGCGCAGGACGAGTGCGGACACCCGAGACGGAGAGGGTGCCGCCTGGAGGCCCCGCTGGCGAGTTTGCGGCGTACTCGACCTTGAAGGCTGACGACGACATGCCCGGCAAGTCGAGGAAGACCAGGACGCGCGACTCGGACTCGACAATGTCCACCGACGACGGCCAGGCAGCAGGCGCAGCAGTGCCTGTCCGCTGGGGCTCTGGGGTGGCCATGGTGTAGAGGCAAGTGTGCGGAGACGGGTGGTCGAGGAACTGACTTTGCCCGTCTCCGGGTAACCGACACCAACCGGCAGTTGGGGGAATGCGAGCATACGCAGGACGAGGCGTACATCCTGCGCGGGAAATGATAGCTTGCTATGAGCCAGCGATGTGATCAGGCAACATGAGCCAGTGTCATTTCTCGGGATGGCCAGCTGTGGATGAGGTCGAGCGGGTGGAAAGCATGGTGATCTGCGAGTGGGTGGCGCTGAGCGAGGGTTAGGTTGTGGCTAGGATGATAGTGATAGTGGTGGAGTAGGCGGTGAGGGTGGTGGTTTGTGGTGATGGGGTGTAATGAGTAAGGTAGAGGGGGATGAGGGGGTCGTGACGTGGGTGGTGTGGCGGGCGAAATAGTAGTAGGTATGGCGATTGGGCTTGAGCATTGATGAAGGTGGGTATGATACGGCTGATGGGTGTGTGTGGGTGTGGGCGATAGGGGCGGCGGGTACTTGGCCGGCAGAGGAAAGGCGGCGGACGTAAATTGAGTTGAACGTCGATGGAGACGATGGCTTGGGATTGGACAGGGAGGCAGACCACTGAACTCTAGCCCACCCACTGCATTGCCTATCGCTTGCACTTGCCCTCTCTTGTTCTTCCTTGTCTTGGCCAGCCCGGTGGCTTCGTCGTCTGGCTCGGTGGTCGGCAGCAGGGGCGGCTGGCGATGAGCAGGCCGGCGGGGGCTGTGATGGGCAAGGCCGGAGGAGGGAGGGAAGGATTGGGTTGGAGAGCAGCCTGGTAGCCATTGCCATTGATGTGGCTATCTATATGCATTGCCTCCAATGCCCTGTCGATGGCTAGCTTGCTCTCGGTGGTGCCGGCAGTGGTCGGTCGGCGGCGGGCGGCGGTCAGCGGTGAGCAGCAGGCGGTCGGCAGCGATGCTGTTGACGGGATGGCGTCGGCTGATGTCAATATCGGCGGGCAGGAAGTGGGTGGCTATGTTTGCAGGGGTAGTGGCTATGTGTGGTGTGGGTGTGGTGGTTGTGGGTGGCGATGGTCGGGAGTGGGGGTCGGAGATGGGCCCGGGGCGGGGTGGTCAGCAGCATCGAAGGGACACAGGGCCAACAACTTGGGCCCGAGCCGGCGGAACTCGGATTCCGGAATACTGCAGCTGTAAAATGGCGACTGTACAAGGGCGTAGTGTGGGCATGTAGTAGGGTAGTAGTGAAATCAGATTGGCCATATCTGATAATGAGGTTGGTGTGGGGGCATGTGCGGGGTCGGGCGGTCGAGGACGTGCTCAACCACCTTGGGCAAACAAGTCGACGCGAAAGTGAGCCGAGGAAGATGGGTGTCGATGACAGCGATATTGGTACTGGTGATAGTGTAAGGTGAGTGATGACCAGTAGTGTGGTCGCGGGTTGCGTACCTGGTAGTGGGTGGAGGCTAGGTGGTGATGAAGGTGGGGCTGACCGAGCGAGCGGGCGGCGGCTGGTGGCTGGTGGTCGGCGAGGCCGGGGCAGCTAAGGGGGTGGGATCAGGGCTGAGTGCCTTGCGATTGGTATTGGTTGGAGGATGGGCAGTATGGCATGTGATGGTTGAGGGGTATGGGTGTCAGGGTCGGGGATGGGGATGGGGGTGAGATGGAGCGGGGAGAGGAGGCGGAGGAGGAGGAAGAGGAAGCGGAGTGCGCGATGGGATGGTGGTGAGGATGACCAAGGCAAGGTGGTGGTGGTTGTGGCTAGGATGATAGTGATGGTGGTGGGGGAGGGGGTGCGGGTGGTCGTTTGTGGTGACGGGTGGTAATGAGTATGGTAGGGGGGGATGAGGGGGGTCGTGACGTGGGGTCGTGACGGGCGAAATGGTAGTAGGTATGGCGATTGGGCTTGAGCATTAACAAACATGGGTATGATGAGACTGATGGATGTGTGTGGAGTGTGGGCGATAG